CTTTCTCCTTGCATTCCTTTGGAAATGATTCCTGGCTTAAGATAGCTTTTGGCGTACGCTGGGCTGTTGATACAGACGGTGGTGTGTTTATTTATGACACATTGAACAAACACGTCTGCCTGTCTGTCTGTCTGTCTGTCTGTCTGTCTCTCTGTCTGTCTGTCTGTCTGTCTGTCTGTCTGGCTGGCTGGCTGGCTATCTGGCTGTCTGGCTGTCTGTCTGTCTTTCTGTCTGGCTGTCTGTCTGTCTGTCTGTCTGTCTGTCTGTCTGTCTGTCTGTCTATCTGTCTCTCTATATATCTGTCTGTCTGTCTGTCTGTCTGTCTGTCTGTACATCCTATTGCCTCTCTCCCTCAGTCAGTGTGGTTGGCGGGTGCTCTGGTGTGGTTTATTCCTTCTTCCCTATCAAATCTGTCATCCTTATCTCTCGTGCTCCTTTTATTTGTAAGTTACTCTACAGTAACACCTCTAATTGTAAGCACTTATGACCTGTTTGTGTTACACTGTCCCCGCGGTTTTAGCACCCCGCATAATTTAGCAAAATTTGATCATTTTATGCATAATTTCTAATTATTTTCCTTTATCATTCTTTGTTAAAATTAACAGAATCGCATAATTTCACATTTTTGGGCTCGGTTTGCCTAATTTCAGATTCTTTTTTGCATAAAACCCCGGGGACAGGTTACAAGTACTGTAAAACTCTAATAATTAAAACTAATAAAAAACGATTCGCATTTTATAATGTAGATCATTTAGACAAAGAAAGTGGAAGAAAACTATTTCTGTTATCATCATGTTGTGGCTGGTAAAATAGAAGGGTAACGAGTCAGTTACACACCTAGATATCATATGACCTGACGCAGTTGCGAGCACCGTAAAACCCTATATACTACTACTACTACACCTAGATAAACTTGTTAGTAGGTGGTTGGCGGGTGCTTTGGTGTGGTTTGCTTCTTCTTTCCTATCAAATATCTGTCGTCCTTATCTCCCCTTCTTCTTTTTTGTGTTTGTAACACCTCTAATCTTCTGGCGCTCATATGACCATGCAGTTGCGAACGCTGTAAAACATCTACTAAAACGAATAACAAACAAAACTTGTTTAGAAAACATGAACTCATGGGTGATCGGGAAACACCAGGATAAAATCAGATATTTTTTTAGAGCACCCGAGCATAAAAGAAGAAAAGAGAACCATGATTTTTTATCATGTATGTTTCAGATCTTTCACACTAATTATATCGGAATTTTTTAGATCATCAGAGTAGGGAAATTGATAGAGAACCATGATTTTCGCGTGGCGATGGATTGGACACACTCTCAGGAAGTCAAGCAGCTGCATAACAAGAAATTAAGTGTTAGATTGGAACCCACAGGGTAAAAGATCAAGGGGAAGACCTCGTGGAGGAACCTGGAGAAGAGTCACGGAAATGGATGTACAGAAAAGTGGGAAGACGTGGAGTGACATCAAGCGACTAGCTCAGGATAGGGAAAGGTGGAGAGTGTTTGTTCGTGGCCTATATCCTGACCCAGGGTGAGAAAAGCAATGATGATGATGATGATGATTTCAGATCTGTCACACTAATATCTTACATTTTTAGAGCATCCGAGCAGAGATATAAAAGGCGATCCATGATATCCGATGTGTGTTTCAGATCAGTCACTTTCCTATGATCTTTATTCCTTGCAGGGAGTTTGAAGTTTTGGAAATCAATGACAAGTTGATCCGTTTGTCGCGGGCATTTATCTATGAGGGGGGTCTACTGCATCGCAGCCAGTACAGGTACGTGGAGTGTTGTGTTTATTTATTTATTTATTTATCTATTTATTTATTTATTTATTCTCTTTTGTTTTGCTTATTCGTTTATTCGATATTTATTTATTTATTTATTTTTGGTTGGGGGGGGGGTACCTATATGTTCATTTATTTATCTATCTATTTATTTATTTATTTATTTATTCAATCATTCATTCATTCATTCATTTATTCATTTATTTTAATTTTTTTTTTTATTTTGATATTTTTTACGCCCTCATTGACACAATTTTGATAATTTTGATATTTTTACGCCCTCATTGACACAATTTTGATAATTTAGAAAGTGGGCATTGACCTTGTCTGTCAGAGAAAAGCCGGACTTCGAGGGATGCAACATCTATTTGAGTTGCAAGTGCCATAAAACTCTTTCTAAAACTCATAACTAAAGCGTATATATATATGAGCTCTAAACAGAAAGTTTTTTCCTTATGTGACCTTATTGTGTTGCAAATACCGTAAAACTCTTACTGAAACAAAAATGTCTCCCTCTCTCAGGAACCTCCTCATCGCCCCTCACCCGGACAATCTGAACGAGGAAGTTGTTTTCCCCGGCCTAGCGGGGAACTTGGGTTCGGATCCTTCGGAGGAGCGCGTGCAGTTGTCTCGAGAGCTGGTCATCCTGGTGGTGGCGGTCAAACGGGCGCGGGATATCCTCCTGGACGATTTCGGGCCCAACCTCATCCGGGACGAGTTGTGATTCCTTCGTCTGAGTCAGCTGCTAGTTGGCGCGCCTGTTCCGTTATCGGAGGTCCAGCTTTCATCATCGTCTCGCCACTTTAGCTTAGAATTACAAAGTTCTATCTGACTGTTTTTTTGCCGTTTTGAGTAGTTGTTACTAAGACCATGAAATCGGAGAACAATTAATGCTCTATCTACTCTATCACAATCGTAAGATTATTTGGAGTTGTTATCAAGATATTAAAAGAATTGTGTTCAAAATGCTGAACATTTTGACATCCTGATCAAGATATCCAAAGAATTGCATTAAAAGAAGCTTGACACGTTGTGCAACTCAAATTTTTTAACGTCAAATTCCTCGAAACTAGGTATTGAGTAGATAAAACTTTGTAATTCTGGGATAGCGATCTTTCACGTCTGGTCCATTAACTCTCCAAGTGTCGCAGGCAGACGAGTTATAGTCTATAGTGTCCGGATAGTTATATAATAATAAGATTTTACCTTACTATGTAGGAAAATGCTTGAGAACAGGCAAGTCAAGCAAGTAAAGGCTATGAACTTAGACATTTTCAGAACGTAGAATGTAAAAAAAAAAAAAGTAGAGCTCATTTGTGAAGGAGTTGAAATGTTTGTTGATGTAAAATAAACGTGATAAACGAGCAAGCAAGTGAAGGCTAGAAAAATGCACACTTTCAAAAAGTAGAATGTAGATAAAAAAAGCACTGCTCATTTGTGAAGGAATTGAAACATTTTTTTTGGTGATAAAAACCTAACATGATAAACGAACGGAAAAAAAAATCAACGTGATAAACGAACAGAAATAGAGACACAAATAAATTATTGTCATTTAAATCGTCCGTGATACCGTGGAACGAAACTTACTGCTGATTTCTTGGACCGTCAACGGCGCTAGGAGGGTTAACGATGGATCAACGCGTGCCACTGTCATGTGTCAATTGTCATCTATACCATGCCTATTTACATCTGTCACGTTTGTTTCTTATACCGCCACAGCAAAAAGTCCAGCTGTTGCCAAATGTCAGTCCCGTTCTGAAAATGATTCTTCTGTATACGAGACCGTTTTAATTGAGTGCACCATCGTCCCTAACAGATGACGTCATCATCATCATCATCATCATTATCATCATTATCATCATCATCATCATCATCGTCATCATCCTCATCATCAGTATCATCATTATCATCATCATCATCATCATCCTCATCATCATCATCGTCGTCATCATCATCCTCCTCATCATCATCATCATCCTCATCATCATCATCATCATCATCATCGTCATCCTCATGAATGAGAACACCTCTCTCTCTCTCTATCATCAGCAGCTATTTCAATATTATTAGTGTTGTTTCAACTGACAGCGAGTTACAAGAAATCAATTTATCATTTCCCTGAGAATATCGAGCATGACTTTATGATGATATCGAGCATGACTTTATGATGATATCGAGCTTGACTTTATGATAAGATCGAGCATGACTGTATAATAATATTATTATCAAGAAAGACTTTTGACTTTGTCATTTTCATCTATTTATAGGATCCATGAGGCTAAATTATAATATTATTACACTACGGTAGTTGGTTCAAATATTTTAATGATTATGTAATTATGTTCTTCCTATTAAAATCTTGAGTAGCATGGTGTGAATTAATTGTCAGATGAATACGTGCATTTATAGCGCGAGAGAAAAAAATGATGCATTTATAGCGCGAGAGAAAAAATGATGCATTTATAGCGAGAGAGAGGAATAAAATGATGCATTTATAGCGAGAGAGAGGAATAAAATGATGCATTTATAGAGAGAGAGAGAGAGAGAGGAATAAAATGATGCATTTATATCAAGAGAGAGAGAGAGGAAAAAAATGAATCAGAAAAAGAAATTTCACAAATAATATTTATTAATATAAAAATGAAAAGCAAATTTTTAAATATAATGCAGATCTCTTTTCCTATTTTCAAGGTAATTTTGTAGAGGTAGATAGTTTTGTACGAAGACAGAATGCGTTTTTTAAGTAGACCGACTACTGGTTTTCTCATTTTTGTACAAAAAGATAAAATGATAAATGTCCTACCTTTTTTAAATAGTTTTTGTTTGTTTTTCTTTTTGAGGGAAAAGGTTTTTATATAACAGATCTATATGAAAGTTGACAGCTGCACTTTGTGTAAAACTCTGCCATACGCTGTTTGGAAAAAGTGACGTATGCTGGAATCTTACATATTGAATAGTTGAAATGCTTTTGTTCGTCTTTTGATTTTCCGTTTTGTTTGCGAAGTTTGTTCTTTAATGTCATGTGTTTTGCCACTCTCGCATCATGCGGTTTATTAACACGGATAGCTCGAATTGGCCGGGACCGGCCTCTTTAGTAGGAACGAGGGATCCGACCGTAATTCGAGAGATATCTTACAAAGATAAAGAGGAAAAAAAAAAACGGGGGCCGCTGTCACAGTTTGACGGATGTGTGATTTCGCGAGGCTTCTCTGTTTGACCTATCCGTGTTATACTACTGTATTTCATTAAAGCTTTGCTGCCTCATCTCGCCGATTGGCGATGTTTACAACCCAGTTTCTGTGGAGTTTCCCCGAAATAATACGATGGCAAAGTGTTAACGGCAGAAATTGTTGAATGACTTGTGTATTCACTTTGGCATTATGACCAATGTCCTTTGATCCAATTCAGGTAAACATTGCATCTATACTGAAGAGCCAAATTTATATTCTCACTTGGACTACGATATGATAATATTTCCGATATGATGAAAATGTAAATGTTTGATTGATTATGTGTTGTTGTTGTTTTTAGAGTCTGCTGCTTGAACTTTTGCTAAACTAATTTTGGACGAAGAGCCGGCCGTCGTCTGTCTGGACTACGTGTTTGTCGTTTGTCTCAGGTGTTTTTCTGTGGGTAGTGACAGGGAGCTTCTTTTGTGCGATGTTATCATTCTTGATAATTTGATACTTTGTACGGACTTATTTGCTGTAAAATTGTACTAAAACCTGGGTTTTTTAAGGTCATTTAAAAAATCCTAAATCCTTTTTTTAAATCATTTGTTCAGAGTGGATGTTGCGAGCAAGTTTATTCAATGAGACCTTTGTATTGAATCATTTTTATACCTTTCCATTTAAAAATAGTATAAGTTTTAGTGAGTGTTTTGGGCTAATATGTTCTAGAAAGGTGACTGAAGGTATCAAGTGCTGTCTGAAGTCGAGAAGTGGGTGGTTGGCGGATGCTCTGGTGTGGTTTGCTCCTTCTTTCCTATCAAACATCTATCGTCTTTATCTCCCCTCCTTCTTTTTTGTGTTTGTTACTCTCTTGTAACACCTCTAATCTTCGGCACTTATAATTATGACCTTATTGTGTTGCAAGTGCTGTAAAACTCTTACGAAGATTTCGAAGTGTTTACTTCATTGGTTAATCTGATCAATTGAACTAATGATAAAATGGTCCTGGCATACTGGCTTAGAACTGTTTTTGCAAGCAGATATAACACTCAGTAAACACTGTGATGTACACACAAGTATATGTATTTAAGCACAACACACACACACACACACACACACATACACACACACACACACACACACACACACACACACACACACACACACACACACTTACACTATAGATCTACACCAAAAAATACCTGGACTTTAATATGGTATGGAAAAATTATAAAGAGACTTTAGAGTGAATAGCATCCAAAAAGGAGAAATAGATTCTCTGCATATTTTAAAGGTTATTCACAGTGTACTACATCTATAATATTTATTATTTATCACCGCCCCCCCCACCCCACCCCTAATCCATCCCCCGCCAACTTACATTATTAGAATGCTGTGGTATGATTCTGGTTTGTAAAATTTTAGCTAATGTTTCTGTACTATATATCGTCCCAATCACGGTGAAAAGTTTTCTGATTCTGAGTTTTCTGCGCATATTGTCCGATTCCCACAATGTGGTGTGTGTGTGTGTGTGTGTGTGAAGTAAATACGTGTAGGCCTACAGCTTTTTTCTATTCGTTCATACGATGCCTGACCCTACCCTCGTGGTCTATCAACCAAAGACGTAAAAGTGGTGTGGCTTTAAAACCGCGATAGCTTTAGAATTTCTACGTCCACCCTGTCAAAAAACAAACCTCTCTTGTCCTGGTTCTATGTGAATGGGGTAGATGAGTGGTCAAGTATTCTGTGCTGCCCTTTCTACTCGAGTACTTTTCTTGTCTCAATAATATGTGAAGCAGCGTGGTGAAACCAGGCGCTCGTCGCAGCGTGGTGAAATCAGGCGCTCGTCAAAATATTGAAAGTCAAGATACTGGCCTTTTTCCGCAGGTTTAGGAATTTTTATCGAATTTTTGTTTTTTGGCTCAACACCATTTATGCTCATTAAAGAACACATTTCTGTGTGGAATTTACGGAAAAACGTTGATTAAAGGCATAAAGATGTAATTTTTCATTTTCCACAGACTCTCAAGCTAAGGAAATAACTCAGCTTTGGCGGCCATTTTCTTGCTAATTTTACCTCTGAAACCAGTCTATGACACCCACATCCTTCAACCGCCAATATCTTGACTAGTATCCAAGATAAATGGATATTGTTTTCATCAAAAGCAAGGCAAATTATGAACAAGCTTTAAGATGATACGAATTACTCTTTAAGCCTCAAAATTGACGAGCGCCTGATTCCACTGTGTCGTGACAATAAATATGTTTCTGGTAAAATGCAGCCATTATGGTGATGTTTTTTGCTCTAAATGACAACGCAACATTTTACTGATCGCTAAGATTGACTCCGGTTGAAAATTTGAGTCTGAGGGAGGTGGATAGTTTGAGTGTTGTGTCATGCGTGTCAAAGCTAGGAAGTGTGAAAGTGCAGAAAGTGTTTTGATCTTCCAAGTGTTGTGTTTGCTGACAGAGAAGCTTCCTCTTCTTCATTTCTCGAATTCCACACAAATGTTTTCATCATTCCTGCTATTGCTTCTCATTTATTGGACCTTTTTTTTTACTCCTGATGAAAGACGTTTGGTGTGTGATGTCTGGCATCACCTGAATACATACAAACGCACTTACACACACACACACACACACAACTCACGCCCTCACACTCACTCACACACACACACACACACACATACACACCCACACAACTCACGCCCTCACACTCACTCACACTCACTCACACACACACACACCTACACACACGCAAACACACACACACACTCACACACACACACACACGCACATAATATGATATGATACAAACAAACTGATAAACCACAATGAGTACTACGGTTTTATATCAAAGTTTGCTGACTTGTCACTGATATATATACATGCACACGATCCGTTCAGTATCCTAGCTGTTCAGTGCTTGTTCAGTATCCTGTTCCAAATCCTGTTCAGTATCTCGTTCAGTGCTTGTTTCAGCTGTCTAAAATGTGCCTTTTGATGTCGATAAAAATCCAACCTTGTATAATTTATTCAAAGTATAGAAAGGTTTAAAGCATGTTACATACCAATCCACAAAGTTTTCAGGAAAAGTTCATGTCGTATTTGTACATAGAAGTATTACGGCATGTTCTTGCTCTTTGCTGAGAAACTTGATATGTTGATGTTTTTTGAGGACTGTCTCTCTCTCTCTGGCCAGTGGTTTGTTTAGTGTACGTACGATCTGTCAGGAAGAGTCGATATTGAAGTTTCTAGTCCTGAGGCATTTATTTCATCACTGGTTTATCGTGATCTTTTTTCTGTAGATCTAGCATGATTCT